GAACCAATTGTGGACCAGAGCAGCCCGATGGAATGAGACATTGTCCCAAACGACAATGTACCGCATCTGGTCCACTTGGTTGAATGCTGTGACAATCTCGTGCAATCTGTCAAGAAATGCAAGTATTAGATTTGCATTATAGGGTCCCAGATTTGCATGGTGGTGGAGGACCCCATTTTGTGTAATAGCAGCGCAAAGGGTGATGTTACCCCCTCGCTGCCCTGGTACATTGGTGATTGCCCTGTGTCCAATTACATTTCTCCCTCTTGTTTTCGCAAGGTTAAATCCAGCCTCATCCACATATATAAATTCATGTTGAATTTCTGCAGCATCCATTTGCAAGACTCTCTGAAACACAGTAAAATACAATAGGATGTTATTCAATATCTATTGCACAGTATTTTTTTGTGCCAGAACATTATGAGCAGTGCATAATACCACACCATAGTAAGATGAACAATACATACCTCCACATACTCATTGCGCAGATGTTTCACTCTCTCTGAATTTCTGTCAAATGGTACCCGATACAGTTGCTTCATGTATATTTGATTTTTCTTGAGAATTCGACCTAATGTTGACAGAGAGACTCGTTGGATGTTATTGAAAATATGGTCATCATTGATGATATTGGCTTGGATTTCTCACAGCCTGATACAATTATTGGTCAAAACCATGTTCACAATGGCAGCCTCTTGTGCACGAGTGAACATAGGGCCCCTTCCACCTTATGTAAAAAAATAAATAAATAAAAACAAATACACATGCAGCCTACTGTCAAATGTCACAGTAAACAATATTGATGATAAGTACAGCAAGCTTCAGTTTCAATGTACTGTGTGGTTAGCTTACCGGTTTTCTCGATGAAATGTCCGAACTACTGACGCAACAATATTTCTACTGAGATTTGGTTGAACTCTTTGTCCAGCTTCCATCAGTGTCAGTCTATGGTTGATAACATGGTCAATAAGTGTTGCACGGTTGTCTTGAGTCGAATTTGGTCCTCGTCTTCTTTGTTCAGGTTCTATCAACTCTTCAAGTCCTTCTCTACCTCTTCCTAAGCCTCTTTCTCTATCTCCTTCATCTCCTCTTTGAGCGCCCCCTCTCATTCTTCTTCTTCTTCTTCTTCTTCTTCTTCTTCTTCTTCTTCTTCTTCTTCTAGCTCCTTCTCTTCTTCTTCTTCTTGCCTTTTATAGCACACCTGAGTGCTGCTTTTCCAATTAGCACATGTGTGCTTCCACACCTGGTGGATGTGATTATCCAATTCGTTCATTAGTGTGGTCATTGGCAATCCGGGGCTTTGTAATGACAAGGAAGTAACCTCACAATCCTTATCTGTGTCTAAGGTGTGAAAATGTGTGTAGAGTTTTACAAATCACCGTGTGTAATGTTTTGCAAAAATGGTGAAGCAGACATTGCGTGTAATGTTGTGCAAATCTGTGGAGGTGTTTTGCTCATTGGAGTAGAATTTTGCAAATTGTGTGGAAATTTTTATTTTAGTGTGTAAACAATCGTAAAAAACTGTAACATCATAGACCAGGGGCGGCGAACTCCGGTCCTGGAGAGCCGCAGCCCTGCAGAGTTCAGCTCCAACCCTAATTAAAACTCACCTGCCTGTAGCTTTTTAGTAACCCTTCAGACCTTGATTAGCTTGTTCAGGTGTGTTTGATTAGGGTTGAAGCAAAACTCTGCAGGGCTGAGGCTCTCCAGGACCGACGTTCGCCACCCTTGTCATAGACCATCAATTTGGATTCGTCAGCACCTGGTGAGAGTTCCCTGCGGGGCATTGGTATTATCCCAGCAAGCAATTTTGCGTTTAAAAGACATCTATTAGCCATCTAAACACAGCCCAGACGTCTTGGCTAAAAGAAGGCTAAATTTGGGCTGTCAGTTAAAATTTAATAGACGTCTAACCATAGCCCAAGAATAGACTAGTCATCAATTAGACCGCTATTAAACAATTACATATATACGTCTAATAGACGGTGAATATGGGTCTAGGCTAAAACAAGGCTAAATTTGGGCTGTCAGTGAAAATGTAATAGACGTCTAACCATAGTCCAAGAATAGACCAGTCATCAAATAGGCCGCTAATAAATGCCTACATATATACATCTAATAGACAACAAAATGGCAATCCATCCAAACAAATTAAATATACAGATTTTATTAAGAATTTTTTTTTTAACAATTTAAGACAATACAAAATGTTAAAAATACAAAAGAATTAATGACAAAATAAAATTTTACAAATATAATACACTTAAATATAAATATTATGATCAAAAAATTCTGGAATTTTTAACAACTTAAGATAATAAAATATAAAAATGAAAAAATAAAATATTTTAAATAACTTAAGATATTTAAAAGAAAAAAAAATCTAATACAAATCAAGAGCATGTTATCACATTTAACATTAAAACATTACGAATAAATGACAACATAAAAAAAAGATTAACCCTTTTGTTGGTTTACTTATTTTAACAAATAAAGCAGCCAACATTGAACTTAAAGGAAATTATTAATTATTGGTTTTATTTCTTGTTTAAAATGCTTCCCAACTGCATTCCTCAAGTCCAACTCTGTTGCTGCCAGGAAGTTGGTAATCAAAGCATCTGCCAAATAAGAAAGAAAAGAAAAAAAAGCACAAGAAAAGCTTGACATAATTTTTTTACTTTAATTACACTAATTGTGACAGGGAGTCATTCTCTTTTGCTTGGATGCCTACTAAAAACAAAAATGAGGTTAATGCACTATTTTAATACTGCTGCAAACTTTTTATAATTGATCACTGTTTTAAAATCGATTGAGTTTGTAAACACGTACGAATGATAAAACTTTTACTCTATTAAATTTTGCAATTAATCCTCTGAACACATGCGTGCTGAACCCTGGGCCTAGTCACGGATCACTGTCAACTACGATCTGCTCCCTTCACTAAAATGTCACGGTTCCTAAACATGATAACAAATAATATTGATAAATAATGAACACAGATAACAAAAACCCAGATACTTACAAGACCAAGTAGGAATGTCCTTTATCGTTTGTTGTTTGCCCGCTGCTCTTTGACAGGTAAACTTAGTGCTCTCTCGTGTAAAAACAAAATTCAAAACACAACACTGATTTCTACTAACTCTCATGTCTTGCGTTGCCAGTAGTCATGTATCAGTAGGGCTACAATTGCCATTTAGCGGTTGAGAATTGTAATTGCATTTTTATTTATAAAATGAAAGACAGTCTTATCACTTGCATTTGATAAGAAGCTGCGTGGGCGAAAAATACATGTAAACAATTTTAAGGCTATTTTGGCTATGCTCATCACTGGTCTGGTTACAGGTATAGGACTCTAGTATGGAACAAGATGGCACCGCAAATGGCAGCCAGGATACTGAGCTCCGTGATTCTTCTGATGTTTTTATTTGTTTGTTCTGTGTTTTGTCATTCTTCTACTATACGTTTTACCAGAGACGAAC